GACGAATTATAAATATACAAGTATAATTGAGATTTCAGTGCGCTAATGTTAATAATAATTTATCAACCGTAATGAATGTAACGTGATCGATTATCGAGTGTAATATAATCAGGACAGAGTTTAAAATAATTAGCAAACAATATTCGTAGTAGTATTTACAATTTATGATTACTCCACAATTTTTTCGCGAATAATGCGCGTAGCAAGTATACGACAAATATTTATTTTCGCGAATGCCAAAAAAAATGCATTTTAGTTATATCGGCGAATTTATGTGACGTAGTCTCGGACGAAATTCCACCTCGACGGTGGAAAAGTTGAAAAGCAGAGGAACATCCGCGGGGATGTCGTCGACGAGTTCTTCTTTCTCTTTCTCTCGACGCGTCCGTATTCTCGTCCAGTTTATTGGATAGCAGGGAAATAAAGTCGGGACACCTTAAAGGCCGTCTCCAGCGTGGAGAATTTTGCTGGGAGCAGCAGACTTTTCGTCGCGCACGGAACAGTCATCAATCCGGTTTTAACGACGTTATCGGGGGCAAGAAGAACGGAACGATTTGCGAAGAGCGAGAGCGAGAGCGAGATAGAATGTGCCCGATCTTCCGACGAGAAGTCAACGGTCGGCGGCTCGGATATTTTAGGATTTAACAGTGGTCTATCCTGTCGTATTTTTCCTAAACGAACCTCACTGAGGATTCATCGTGGTTCATCGAACTCCTCCCCGTGGCTTGCAAGTGCCGCGCGCGCGTCCAAGCGTTATCCTAGACTAGCCGGCTCGTCACGCGGCTCAGAATAGTGGCAGAAACAGTGTTCCTAGAATTTCCCATGTGATTCGCTGAAAGCTAAACGTGGAAGAAACGAATCTTCATTGAAAATTGAAAAACTGAACGCGAATTCTGAAGCTGCGACACGTTGTTCGATATATTCAACAATAATAAATCAACTGGTTTCCTTCGCCATCTTCGACCTTGTAAATAAAGTAAAGCTGCATATATGTGGCTTAAACTTGAGAATTACATACGAGTCTATAAGTCTCGAATGCAAAATACAAAACTCTTATCGCTGGCGAGCGAGTCTACTTCTGTTTTTTTTTTTTTTTCGCATTTTACTCGAAAACACTCGGTTTGACACCGAGTCGACTGTTTCGAGGGCAGCTGGTTTCGTTACGACACTCGGGGATCAATATACCGTTCGAGAGTGTTCTGCTCGTTTTCTTTTTTTTCCCTGCATTGCAATGCAATCGCTGCGCTACTCGTCCCGTGTTCCGCGGGATTTTTCTGCGAGCTGGGAAAAGAGAAGAAGAGGAGCAGCAACGCATTACGCGGCGAGAGAAGTTTATGCAAATCGCGGCCAATTTACAGACGCAACCTCGGACGCTTTTCCATTTCGCTTAATTTATGCTAATCCATTTATGCAAATGTCTCGGTAATTCGCGCGAACGCCTCCTCCTTTTTGTTCTCCTCGCCTGGTGTTCTTAATTTTTAGGCCGCGCGCCATGTTGGACGGCCACAAAAGCGTCAATTGTACCACGTACACGCATGGGGAAACAGCGTGGAAGGCCATCACTCGGTATTGAGATTCGTGATTGGTTCAACCGAGATGGCAGAAGGAAACTATGCTGCTTGCTATGTTAAACACGAACCCGCGGGTTCGAGATAAAGCCAGCGAGAGTTCACACAGTTCATAAGTTACAGCAGCGGGATTAACGGCCTATGAAACGTTAGTATATCGGCCAAATTAGCACCGGGCCAACTCTGCATCGCCACGGCATCCTATTCCCATCCTTCCAATAATAGATTAAACGTTTACCGAGGTTTGACGCTTGTACTATCGCCATTATACGATAGTTCCTTTCGTCCTGTGTGTTTAGAACCCTTTCGCTACGGGCCGATTTTTCGGCGCGCTGAACGAGCCGCTGTGCCGGAAGTGTGCACTTGCGGAAGATCTGCAATATCGCCCGTAGAAAGAAAGAAGTGAAAAAATTATCACATAATAATGTAATTTAATAATGTAATTTCGTATGGAAAGTTTCAAAACACGGGTATATACTATAGTAACCGATCGTACATAACGAGCATCACTCGTTGGGTGACTATCATAGCGAAAGGGTTAATATGGTGAACGTAGTGGAGTATATCTCTTGGCTATCGCTAGATGACAGAGGGAGGGAATATCTGCAAAGAAAATGTAAAGATAGTTATTGTTGAAAAGAAGATATAGAAATATTGGATATGGAAAATATCCAGATAATTATTATATGAAAAATGAAATCTGTTGAAAGGGAAGTATCGTGCTACGAATTCTAGAGGAATCGGCGTGTTGATCGAGAAAGAGATCAGGAGCGTGGTTCAAAGCTTTTCACCGATTTCGAGATTAATTTATTCTCCAGCTTCGACTTCGATACTCGAGCGAATTATTCGGTTCGTTGGCGTGCCACGTGTGAAACGAAGCAAGGAGATCGAGATGACCGCCATGCCTCGCATTCACGCCATCAACGTGTTCGTAAGCTCGTTCGTAATGCTAATCCATTTCCTCTCATAAGCTACGCTCTTCAACTACGGTCTGCTATCTGAAGCAGATTGCCTGTTTACAATAGGCAACAGAGATCGACATAGACACATAGGACGAAGTTGCAACGAGTTGCAATGAATTAGACGACACGTGAACGTGGCCAAATCCAAGGGACATAGCACTCGATTCACATAGTTGCGATGCGGGGGCCCTCTTCTCTCAGGCTCTTCTAGTTGCTTAGGACCGACTTGCTTAGGAACGACTTAGTGCAACGACCTCGCGCAACGAGCCTTACTCTGTGTATCTTTCTTCCTCTCTTTCTCCCTCGGACGCATGCACATCTAAAGCAAACGGAACAACTGGACGTACTCAAAGAAACCCGATCTCCTCTCGTTTTCTCGGTTCTCCTCGCGACACGCAGCGTCGCGACGTCTCACGTCGTGCCAGGATTCTGAAATGATTTTTCGCTAAGTTTCAACGTTGTTGATAACAACTTCCACGCACTGTTTTGCCATTAGCTGCCTGCCATTCTCATCTGTCGATAAACTTTTTTGCAAATCTTTCCAACTACGTATTATTTAATTGCACAACGATCTAGTCAATGTTACTTCTGTTGCGACGATTCAGTTGTGTTCGTCAGCCACTTTGTTAAAAAAAAATATTTATCATCATTCGTCCATCGTCGTGTAAAGGTAAACGAAAGGTAAAATTGTTTATCCTCGTCGCGCGTGGCATACATAAGAGACACACACGGCGCCACGCTTCCCTTAAAAGCGATTGCCGTGTTCCGCTCTCGAGGAACTTCTTCGTCTGTTGGAGGCGTGACGCGCGCGAATCTCTCAGTTACCGGGCGCGTAATACGTTGCGTGGAGCAGATAAAAGCGACGACTTCTTCGAAAGCGGCGGTAAGTCGCATAATCCGACGGAAGGAGGTATTACATTTTATTTTCGGTGAGAGAGAGAGAGAGAGCGCATGGTCTAGTATTTATTTTTACGCCGAGGAAAGAAGAAGAAGAAGAAAAAAAAAGGTGTTGCTCTCGCGTTTTTTCCTTTTTATCTCTCTCGGCGGAAGATGATGAGTCAACGACACTGTTAAACGAGGCAACGGCCTTGCGAGGCAACGTGCATGCGCTCTTCTTTCCTTCTTCCAGATTGCCCCTTCTCGCCCCTTTCTCCTCTCTCTTTCTCTCTCTCTCTCTCTCTCTCTCTCTCT